CTGTATTCATATCATTGAATTCAGGCGTTCCAGTCGCTTCCATGATCACAGGTGTGTAAAATCAAACACCAAGCCATGAAGACTACTTTTACAAACAGTTATGATAGAATGAGTCTCTCTCAGGAGCTCAGTGAATTCCAGCAAGGTATGTGATAGAATGTCACCTGTGCAACAAGCCAGGCGGGAAATTTCCTCACTGTTACATATTGCACAGTCAACTGTTAATTATAGCTTAGATCCAGTGAAAAGAACTCGTAATGCTTCAGTTACTGAGTCAGCAGAGCATTGGTGACTTTAATGCACTGTGAGCCTCAGCTGTTGGTGACTGCTCTCTATAACTTTAAGCGGTCTGCCACTTCATGGCTGAGTTGGTGCGTTTCCTAAATGCTTTTACTTTGCAGCAGTACCACTCTTCACTGATTCTGTAAAATCTAGGATGGAAGAAATTTCTGACTTGGTGCCGCGGGCCCATCCTATTACAGCACCACAGTCGAATTCAGTGAGCTCTTTAGAATGACTCATTCTTTCACAAATGTTTATAGAGGCAGACTGCATGGCTGGCTGTTTGATATTGTTTTATATATCTGTGGCAAAGGGAGTGAAAGCACCGCAACAATTAGGTGTGTAGCCCAACATGTTTGACCATATAGTGGATATCTTGATTGCGCACGCCTCAGAATAATTGAAGAATCTGATTCTTCTTGTTCTTGTTCTTCTTTGTTCTTCTTTGTTCTTCCTTCTTCTTCCTTATTCTTCCTTCTTCTTCCTTCTTCTTCTTCCTTCTTCTTCTTCGGCTGTATCCCAATTCGGGGTCTGCAGCCTTAAAGTACGCAGCATCAACGATCCTCAAGGGCTGCGTACTTAAAGACCGCTAAGGCCGGAAGTGCGAGGCTTGTGAAATGGGACGGTCTAGCCTCCGTTGCGCTGCCCAGGTTGCCTAGCAACCATGATACTAACAGCTGGAAACGTTTCATACAGCTTTGTCTGACAGAAATGAAGGAGAAAATCTTTTGTTCATTTGTTTGTTTGTTTCTACATGAGCTTTGATCATTCTCTGATTAAGGTCAGCTATTGAACGGCGTATATTTTAAAGTAAAGGCTTTAAAAGAGAGAGTTCTGCATTGCACGCTGGTGGGCGAGCCTGGGTGACGTCACGGTGGACTACACCATCGCCTTCCACGGGCTCAACACGTCTCCGTCACCCCTGCACATAGTAAGAACAAAGAGAACAGCAACAGCAGGAATTAAGACGCTGCTCAGACCGTATC